TTTTTTTTAATTTTAATTTGACCAGAGCAAGACACACAGAGAGAGAGAGAGGAAGAGAGAGAGAAAGTGAGAAAGCAAGTCAGCAGCTCTGGGACTTGAATGGTGGTTGGCTATGTGGGAGTATCCAGCGCCTTAACCACCACGCCACCTGCCTGTCCCCGGGAGGTCATATCTTACTAGCCCTCTCTCTCTGTGTCTTTCTCTGGTGAGCACATGAGCCCTATAACAAGAACTCAAAAAAAAGAAAAAGAAAAAAACGACCAGGTAAATTAATGATAAAAAAAATTATGATCAACCAGTGCAGAGGGAAGTGGAAGATCTCTGTGTAAATAATAATTAGCATTCTGTGAATATTTATATTATTTACTTACTTACTTATTAGTTATTTACTTATATTACTGGTTTACTTATTTTGCTAAAGGGCACATGAGCTTGCTGGAGAGAGAGAGAGAGAGCGAGAGTGAGAAATGACCCCCCTCCAGGGGAATGAACACACCAAAATCCATCTTCCTCCCGGGATTTTGGACACGCACACATATACATGTGGGGTGTTTTTCAAGTCACCAGGACCAGGACTCAAACTGTGTAGTCAGCCATGTGGAATCCAGCTGCCTTAACCACCTTAAAATACTGGCTGGCCCAGTGTTTTATTCCTTTATTAATAAATAACTAGGCGCTAGCTGATGGCATAGTGTTTACATCGCTGGACTCCCACACAGCCGACTCCGCTTCGAATCCCGAATTTGGTGGCTTGAAAATCATGGACCAGCAGTTGGCGTGATGGCTATGTCGCTGGACTCCCATGTTGTCAACCAGAATTCAAGTCCCGGACCCGGTGGCTTAAACCCACGCCGGGCGTGTATGTGTGCATGCCCAAGATCCCAAGAGGAGAATGGAGGAGAATGAATCGCCACATGGCCAACCCCACAAGGGGTGTTTTCTCACTTTCCTTCTCACTGCCTCTGTCTCTCTCTCCAGCAAGTGCACACACCCTAAAAATAATAACAGTGATAATAATAATAATCATGAAATTTGATTATTCTATTACTTAGTCATTTTATACGTATGTCATAATGTAATGCAGAGGAGGAAGTAGAGGTATAGAGAAGTAAGTGGCCCAAGCTCACACGACTCACTAACTTCAGGGCTGGGACCGGATTCAGGGTCTGCATACTCGGCTGCCTCGCTCTCCTGCCTCGATGCCACATGGAGCTCCTGGCGCACGGGAGGGAGGGCAGGGGGCTAGGTAACTGCTTGTCCTCTTCCCCTCTGGAGAGCAACATGCCTTCCCTCCTGACTGCAGCCCCTGAAGGCTGGGCTCCAGCTGTGCCACAGGGCTGTCCTTCCCTCTCCTCTTTCTTCTTAATTTCTTTTTATTTATTTTAATTTCAGAGATTTTGCTATAGGGCATGTGCGCTCGAGAGAGAGAGAGAGACAGAAATTGGGAAACTGTCCCCCATGGGGGATGGCCACCCTGAAATCCCCTCTCTATTCTTCTCTAGGGATCTTGGGCATGCACACACACACACACACACATCTGGTGTGAGTTTCAAGCCACAGGGTCTGGGACTCAAACAGCCGTCCACCACATAGGAGTCCACTATGCCACCTACTGGTCCCCTTCACACCCCTCCTCTGAGCATGTCAACTCCCATGTTGTAATGTGAAGGGAGAAGACCTGGCAAAGATGCTGGGTCCGGGATGCCATCACAGGGAGGTGGGCCAGGCCCACAGTGCAGTCCCCTCAGTCTGCAGTCTCATCTGCTGAGCATTTGCTGAGCCCTTCCCGGCCAAGCCCAAGAGGAAGGTTTAGAGAGGACTAAGGCATGGCTGTCTTCAGGGGGGTCACGGATCTCAAGGGAGACACTGGGTACAAGCCACAGGACACAACCCAGAGCTCGGAAACCTGGATTCCCCCGGCTCCCTCCTAACGCACCCCACTGGGAAGAGAGGTGGAGGAGACCCCTCAGCCTCCATTCTCTTAAGCTACTGTCTACTCGCCCACGTGTTCCCCTTGGGCCTGGCTTCTCTGACCCTGCTGAGCCCCAAACCCTTTGAACCCCTCTCTGCATTCCCAAGTAGCAAAAAGTTAAGATAAGGGAGGACTTTGTGTTCCGGTCATAAAAATCAAGGTTCCGTTCCCAGAGCCCTTCACGGTCTGCGATGTGTGTGCACGCTGATGCCTTGCACTCTGCCAGGACTCTCCTCCCTACCGCCCCTGAGATGGGGCAGGGCACGTCCCAGCCTCTCAGAGCGCGATGGCGGATGGGATGGGGTGATGTGAGAGCTCAGTGCCGGAGCAGCCCATGCCCGGTGTCCTGCCTCGTTCTGCCAACCCAGACACCTCGATGTTAGAGAAGCCAGCTAGAATTCTGGGGATGCTGGGGGAGCCCTTCCACTTCTCAGTCTGCACTGGCTGACCCTGTCTATCGGTCATTCCCTTGATCATCCATGTCCCAATAATTATTTCGAAGCACCCCCTTCAGGCTTGGCACCAGGAATTCAAGTGAGGGCCAGTGCAGAGCCGGAGCTTGTGCTCAGAAAGGCTGAAGCTGAGGTAGCAATCCCAAGGCGTGGCCAGGCATGCCAAGGAGGGGCGTTTCACTGATGGCAAGGAGCAGGGAGACCTGCCTGGGGTGCCTCCTTGAGGAAGGGATGTTTTCAGCCAAAGCTAACGGAAGAGTGGGAGGGGCCTAGTAAAGCTGTTGAGAGAAAAGTGTTGCCAAGGCAACAGCCATGTGTAAAAGGCCTAAAAGGCCAGAGATGAGGAAGCAGAGACAGACTGCAACCTGCCTATTCCACGTGTGCTCCACGGACGGGCAGCTCCAGCATTGCTGGGGAGCATGTCCGTAGGCAGAATCTGGGACCCTGCCCCAGATCTGCTGGCCGGAACCTGCATTTTAAAGATCCCGGGTGATCTTTGTGCACATTAAAGGTGGAGAGGCTGGACTGGCTATAGTGAAAGAGGAGGGATAGGGGGTGAGGCTGGAACATTCTTCAGGGCCTGATCACACAGACCATAGTACGGAGTGTAGATTTGTCTTTTTTTTTTTTTTTTTTAATAGAAAGATTTTTGCTATAGGGTGCATGCCCTTGCCAGAGAGACAGAAAATGAGAAATCAACCCCCCAGGAGGATGGCCACACTGCAATCCCTTCTCCTCCATTCTCAAGACTTTGGGCATACACACACACATGCGCGCACGTGCACGTGTCCAGTGTGTTTCTAGCCACCGGGTTTGGGACTCGAACCACAGTCAGTCATGTGGGAGTCCAGCAACATAACCACTATGCCATCTGCTGGTCATGGGAGTATGGATTTGATGATTCTCTAGTGGGTTTTCAGGTGTTTTGATTTGTTTTGCTTCTCAACGGGAAGTGATATGCCCAGAGATGCGTTCAGAACACTCAGAATTTAAGTGGCTCTTCAGATAATGCGCTGGGAGGGTAGCAGTACCGGAGGTGGGGACAGGTAGGAGGCTCGTGTGAACCAGGAGAAAGGCCCTTCCCATGCCAGCTATCCATGATGGTGCATGGTCTAAAAATGACTCCTCCCTCCCTCCTGCCCTCCCTCCGCCACACTCCCCAAATCCAAATGCCTCTTGAACGGTCTTTTAGAACGTGCTCCCCTTAGAAAGGTCTGAGCTCCCCACTAGACTGAACTATGAAAGGCAAGGATCAGGCCATGTTCACCTGTTGAGCTCACTGCATAAATTTGAGAGAAAAAAATAATGGGGCCAGCAGGTGGCGTGATGATTAAGGCGCTAGACTCCCACAAGGCCAACTACTGTTCAAGTCCCGGACCTGGCAGCCTGAAAATCACACCAGGAGCACATGTGTGCAGGCCCAAGGTACCTCTACTCTAAAGGAGAAGGGATTACAGTGTGGCCATACCCCCTGGGGGTGATTTCTCATTTTCCCTCTCTCTGTCTCCAGTGGACACATACACCCTATGGCAACAACGTTTTTAAAAAAGATAAAAATAGCAGTGCTCAGTGCTGGTAAGGATGCAGTGAGATAGGCAATTTTCTGTACTTCAGGCAGGAACATGACTCAGAACAAGTTTCCTAGGAAGCAATTTGGTAATATGAGCTTTAAAAATGATTCTGTTGGGAACCAGCAGTTAGCATAATGTCTATGTTGCTGGACTCCCACGTAGTCGACGGCGGTTCGCGTCCCGGACCCGGTGGCTTAAAACTCACACCGGGTGCGTGTGCATGCATGCCCAAGATCCCAAGAGGAGAATGGAGGAGAAGGGATTGCGGCGTGACCATCCCCCCAGGGGGCGATTTCTCGCTTTCTGTCTCTGTGTCTCTGTCTGTCTGGCGAGTGCAAGCGCCCTATATTGAAAACCTCTCCAAAAAAAAAAAAAAAAGATTCTGTCTTGGGCCAGCAAGTGGCATGGTGGTTAGAGGAGGTGGATTTCCACATGTGGACAATCAAAGTTCGAGTCCCAGATGGGTGGCTCGCTTTCTCACTTTTCTTCTCTCTGCCTCTTTGTGGTCAAATTCAAATTAGTAAGTAAAAAATAATTCTTTAAAAAAGAAAAAAGATCCTGTGTTTCCTTGACTCAAATTCCTCAAGGAAGGATCAGAATTCATTAAAATCAAAATAAAATATGCATCATTATGTAATAGTACCGAAAAAACTAGACACTACCACGATATCTCTGGAATAGGGAGTGGTCAACAACACTGCAGTGAACGTCCTTGACCAGGGCGTTTGAAACCGTCTTGTTTGTTTTAATCAAATGTATGAAAGATTGCAAAACTATGCCATAATGTTGAAAGGAAAACATGAGAAGTTACGAATGTGGTGGTCTGAGAACTTTGCACAGATAAAAGCAGGAAATCATCAAACTGCGACCCACAGTGGAAATGAGTGTCACTACTTTCCTCTTTATGTGGTTCCCAGACGTGCTAAAACAAACGTGTGATACTTTGACGAGAGGATCATTGTTTTGTTAAAGGAGGGAACTGACTGAGTTGTGCCTCTTACACAGGTGACACCATGGTCCTGGAGGCTGACGTCACCGTAGAAGGACTCAACACAGCCAATGAGACAGGGATCCCCATCATGGCCCACCCACCGGCCATCTACAGTGACAACACGCTGCAGCAGTGGCTGGAGGCCGTGCTGGCCTCTTCCCAGAAGGGTAAGGGTCTCTGTGGGCCACCTTCCCAGGCCTGCGGGGAACGTATGCAGGAGTCCCTTCCTGAGAGCCAAGTCAGTTCCGGCCATGAGTTCTCATTGCCTCCGCCTTCTGCAGACGCCCAGGCTCAGTGGAAGCTGGGTCAGCTGGGGGACGTGTGAGTGCACACACAGGTGAGAGGGGACACGGGAGTGCAGGTCCAGGTGTTCTCGCCTGGACACAGGTGAGAGGGGATGTGCAGTGCGGCTCAAGGTGTTCGCTCCTGGGTCACAGAACTGGGTACAGCATGCCCGGCCTTTCCCCTCCATGTCCTTCCGGTTACAGTCAGAATCCAGGCACCATCCTAACGCCTGCCTCACCCTCCACACTCACTCAGCCGCTGCATCTGCCACCTCTAACCCTCCCCTCCCCGCTCCAGTCCCAGCTGCATCCTCTCTCTCCTGAAGCTCCTTCCTCACTGGCTTCCTGCCCCAAACCCAGCACCCCTAGTCTTCCTTAGACGCCCACTACCACTCACATTGTCATCCCCAAATGCCCATTTTGTCATGCCGCTCTCTGGTGTTAGCCCTCCATGGCTCCCTATTGTCCTCAGGATAAGGTGTGATCTCCTAGGCTTGGCTTTCAACATTCCTAAGTTCCCAGCCTCACCTCCTACCATCTCTTCATCCCATGTCCTCCCCACTCCAAGGAGGATGGGCCTTCATGTATACTGGGTCCTTCCCCTAATTGGATTGCTGTCCCCAGCCACACCACCCCCTCCCACTCGTGGGGCTGAAATGATGGCCCAACAGGCTGTAGGCCTGCCCTGCCCAGGAACCAGACTTTCAGATGCTTGAATCCCACAGCACCTGAGCAGGCCTCTGCCTCCTCTCGGGGTAGATGGGAACTCGCCTGTAAGGGTAGGCCCTGCTCTGGGTTAGCTCTGCTGTTTGAAAGCCCTTCCTCACACCCAGCCAGGCTCTGGTCTCTGTCTCCCTCCTTCCCTCTCCACCACAAGTATGCGCAATACCACCAGGTCTCTCTGCCCAGGGAGTCCCTTCGCCAGGTCCCCAAGCCCTTGCCTCCTTCCCCTCAGGCATCAAACTGGACTTCAAGAGCCTCAAGGCTGTGGGCCCCTCCCTGGACCTCCTGCGGCAGCTGACAGAGGCCGGCAGAGTGCAGAGGCCCGTGTGGATCAATGCCGACATACTGAGGGGCCCCAACGTACCCATCTCAGTCGAGGTCAATGCCACGCAGTGAGTGTGCCTCTCGGCCCCAGCAACATCTAGCGTGGGAGGAGGATCTTGGGGACCTTCGTGGAATCTGCCTCCAGTCACACGGCGCGGTCTCACCTCTGAGCCCCCACTCCCTTTTCTGATGAACCTCTGCCCAGTCATTGCCTCTCCAAGACATTTGCCCAACATCTCAGGCTGCCGAGGGAGACATTTGCCCAACATCCCAGGCTGCCGAGGGACTACCTCCGGGCCCTCAAAGTCCCTCACTTCCTTTGGTTTGGGGCTGTCACTGTCAGCTTACCTGGTTTGTCATCCCTGCTATGACAGACTCCTCTAGGGCACAAGGGCCGAGCCCTCCCTGCATCCCCACTCCCTCCCCATCCTGCTAAAATCCCGACCGCCCTCACACACGAGCTGCACAGTGCTCTACCATTTAGAGCCCACCTCACAGGAGACTGGATCTGGTGAGCCTTCCACAGCACTCCAGGTTCAGAGTCCTTTCTTTCTCCCCATTTTGGAGATGAGAGAGCTGACAGGAATCAGGCCAGCTGGTGGTGTGGTGCTTACGGTGGCTGGCTCCCACATGGCTGGCTGTGCAGTTGGGTCCTAGAAATCATGCCAGGTGCATGTGTGTGCATACCCAAAATCCCAAGAGGAGACTAGAAAGGATCTTGGCATGGCCTTCCCCCCACAGGTGACTTCTCTCTCTTTCTCCAGCAAGCACACATGCCCACAGCAAACTAAAATATAAGAGAGAGAGAAAGCCAGCTGACAATAATTGAAGCTCAACGTGTTGACTACTGGGTTCCACGCACTGTTTCAAACACTTCACCTGCAGCATACCATTTCGCTCTTAGAGTGAGAATGAGGCAGGCACTGTTCTTTTCATTTTATTAATACAGAAACTATCCTATAAATAAATGACTGAGGGGCCAGCAGTCGGCGTAATAGCTATGTCGCTGGATTCTCATGAAGTTGACCACGGTTCAAGTCCCAGACCCAGTAGCTTAAATTCACACCAGGTGCATGTGTGTGCGTGCCCAGGATTCCAAGAGGAGAATGGAGGAGAAGGGATTGCGGCATGGTCATCCCCCCCACCCCCCCAGGGAGTGATTTCTCACTTCCTGTCTCTGTCTGTCTCTGTCTCTCTGGTGAGTGCACACGCCCTATAGCAAAAACCTCTCCCAAAAAATACAAATAAAAAATAAAAAAATAATAAAAAGTTAAATGACTGGCCTAAGGTCAGCAAGTGACAGCAAAGATGAGAATCTGGGCCTTTCTAAGCCGCACGTCTTTATCACCCACGGCTTCCTCCGTCCATCTGTCCATCCACCAGCCAACATCTATCTAACTGGTATTTACTGTTTCTCAAACTGAAGTGCCTCTGGCAAGCAAGCAGCAGTTTGAAAGACGTGGTCAATGGCCCAAGATAAATATGACTTATCGGGAACCAGCAGTTAGCGTAATGGCTATGTTGCTGGACTCCCACGTAGTCGACCACAGTTCGCGTCCCAGACCCGGTGGCTTAAAATTAAAACTCACGCCGGGCGTGTGTGCATGCGTGCCCAAGATCCCGAGAGGAGAATGGAGGAGAAGGGATTGAGGGGTGACCATCCCCCCTGGGGGTTGATTTCTCGCTTTCTGTCTCTGTTTCTCTCTGTCTGGCGAGCGCACGCGCCCTATAGTGAAAAACCTCTCCAAAAAAAAAATATGACTTATCTTCATGAAGTGTTGGTTTTACTCAATTTTGTGGGGTTTGTTTGGTGGGGGGCAGGTGAGCAATAATATTTGCTTTCTAAAATTTGCAGTAGGGCAAAATGCAAATCAATTTTTCAGTGAAAATCTGAAAGTTTGGAGACTCACAGCCAACACAGCCCAGGTCCCCTCAGTCTAGGCTCGGGGCCAGTCTCCTCTGTCCTTGCATGGCTGTGTAAGCAGCCCCACCCTGCTGGAAAAGGAGTGCTATCAGAAGCAAAGAAGTTGAGCGACCTGCCCGAGGTCAGAGCCAGCACCTGAACCCAGACCTCCCAGATTCAAGGTCCCTATGTGTGGGACCTTGGACACGCCACCTCTATCCCTTTGGGATCTGCTCTGCCCACGTGTCATAGATTCAATAGGCTCTGTCACTTCTAGGCCTGGGACGAGAACCTGCGAAGAGTAAGGGGCCAGCGTACCTGACGACCAGTGTCTCTGATTCTGCAGGTTCCTGGCCCTGGTGCAGGAGAAGTATCCCGAGGCCACCCTGTCCCTGGGCTGGACCACTCTCTACACGCCCCTGCTGTCCAACAGAACGTACACCCGGGCCATGGTGGAGAAGATGCAGGAGCTGACAGGAGCGCTACCGCAGAGGGTCACCTTCCCTGTGCGGGCCGTCATGGTGCGGGCCGCCTGGCCCCACTTCAGCTGGCTGCTAGGCCAGTCCGACAGGTGAAACCCCCAGGCCTTGTCACGGGCCCTGCCATTGCCCCTGCTCACTCCAAGCCCACCCCAGGCACGGATGCCCCCAGGAAGACCCCAGAGGCTTAGGGCTAGAAGAGTCTTAAAGACCCCTGGGCCAGCTCCCACTGTTGCTCACACCCTCGGCAGTGGCCTTGCCTTCTGCTCGTAGACCTGTGCTGGCAGGCTGCTCACCACCTCCTGAGGGTCCAGACGACCTCCTGGGGGGGACTTTCCGCCCCCTGGAAAGCTTTTACACTGAGAGTTCGACTCCCCACAGCCGCCTTCCCAGGAGCCAGTTGATCCTCGGGCTGCAGAGATTGCTCTTACAGCCTCTGCCCCAGGAGAGCTCTACAGGACTGAGACACCCTCACCCCTGGTCAGCTCCAGCTGCCCAGCCCTGCCATCCTCAGCCCCCTTCCCTTTTTAAAGATAGAACCCAGCAGTAACCACTCCAAGTGAGGAGTCTCCCCCTCCTTCCTTCTGGGCCCCTGCCCTCCAGCTTCAGCACCCCAGCCAGGCTACTCGGGAGAAGGAGCCAGTGGGAAGCGGGAGGGCAGAGGCTCCACCCCTGGACCCAGCTGCCTCCAGTGCTGAGTGCAGGGGTGAGGTTGAGGACCTGGCTGGGCCCAGGCTGGCACTGAGCTGGCTCTCTGGGCCCCAGGTACAGCCTGACACTGTGGCAGGGCGCCTCGGACCCCGTATCAGTCGACGATCTCCTCTACATCCGGGACAACAGTGCCACCCACCAAGTCTACTATGACCTCTTCGAGCCTGTCCTGTCGCAGTTTAAAGAGCTGGCCTGTAGGAAGGGGCCCTGGGAAGGGCGGTGCGGGCTGGATCCTGCACAGGGCAGCACTTAGTGGCCTGGGGCAGAGCTGGGGGGAGGGGACAGGGGCAGGGAAAATCCAGAGAACAGGAGCAAGGAATCACCCCTGGTGGCACCAGACCCCAGCCTTCCTGCTGGGGGAGCCACCCACGTGCGGGAGAAGGATGGCAGCTTGGGGTCAGATGATCTAGTTCTATTGGGTCCCAACCCTAGCACTTCCGCTCACGGGTTGAAGGACCTTGGGCAAGTCACTTCCTGTGATTTAAGTGGGGGAATGACGACGACCTGGCAGGATGTTGCATGTCCTGAAGAAAATCTGAGCAGAGGTGGGGCATAGAGAGGCACGCTGTGAACGGTGGTCACTTCATTTTGGCGATTTGGGGCCCCACAGTGAATGCCACACGGAAGCGAATGTACTACACCGGGGGCAGCCTGGTCCCTCTTCTGCAGCCACCCGGGGGTGATGGTCTGGGCGTGGAATGGCTGGTTCCCGATGTCCAGGACACCAGAATGCCAACAGTTACACTCCCAGGTAAGGTCTTGCACTGCCCTGCAGCTCCTAGCCAGACTGCAGCACCTCCTTTGTGCAGGGCATGGGCCTGGGTCTCTGTCACCACGGCAATGTGGGCCCATAGGAACCAGGACCTGGATATAAGGGGATGTGGGGTAGAGGGAGTACAGGGGTGTCAGAAGTGAGGGGCTCCGGCGCTCAGACCTGCCCCCTTGAGTCCTCACCACATGGCACTGCAGGAGAGTGAGAGGTGGGCACGGGCCCCAGGGCCAAGCCCCAGGTAAGGCCCGAAGCTGAGCTGGCAGTTTCCAACGTCAGTCTGATAAGCACAGGACATTTATCAAGCAGCCTCGTGCTGGGAGCCCAGAACCAGGAGGACAGATCACAGAGGCCTCCAGCCCTCCTCCTTGGCTGTCCCTGTGACCCCCCCACTGCCCTTTCAACAAGGGACTCTGACTCATCGTGACTGACAGCATGTTGCCTCACCACTTCCAGATGGAGAAGGCATGATTCTGCTGAACGTCGGCCTCCAGGGAACTGCAACTGGGGACCCCGTGCCTGTGGTGCGTGCCCCAGGGGGCCCTGCCCTGACGCTGGAGTCCTGCCTGCTGCAACTGGCCACGCGCCCTGGCCGCTGGGGCGTCCATCTGCATGTGGCGGAGCCTACAGCCCTCCGGCCTTCCCTGGCCCTGCTGGCTCACTTCTCCACCCTTGGCTTCCTGCCTCGACCTGTGTGGGTCGGGGCCACAATCTCCCACGGGAGTTTTATGGTCCCTGGCCACGTGGTCGGCAGAGAGCTGCTTACAGCCGTGGCTGAGGTCTTCCCCCACGTGACCGTGGCACCGGCCTGGCCTGAGGAGGTGCTGGGCAGTGGGTATGGGGAGCAGCTGCTCACAGACATGCTGGAACTGTGCCAGGGGCTCTGGCAACCCGTGTCCTTCCAGCTGCAGGCTGGGCCGCTGGGCCGGAGCAGAGCTGGAGTGGTGGCCGGGCTGCTGGCAGCCTCTCCCCGGGCCACCGTCACCGTGGAGCAGAGCCCTGCCGAGGGCAGCTACACAGCCGCACGGGCAGTGCTGCTGTCGGCCAGGGCTGTGGACAGCACCCGAGTCTACTTCAGGCTGCCCCGGGGGTTCCGCAAGGACTTGCTGGCAGACGTTGGCAGAAACTGACCATCCAGGGGTGCTTGGCTGGGGGACCTGGGGTCAAGGCCTCCTGGGGGGAGGCGAGAAGAAATAAATGTCTGCCTTCCTCCGGGCACTGCACACGTTCCTTGGGAACAGGATGGCACTGAGGGCACTCAGAGAGTCTGGAGGCTGGGGGCCAGGTCGTTCCGGTTGTCCAGGAGGAACTGCTCACAAGCCTTGAAGGTGGTGTAGAACTCAGAGGAGAGGCCCGCCACGTTGGTGGTCACGTAGTTGATAAAGCCGGGAGTGGCCTGGTTGTAGTACGACACCTGCAGGACAGGAAGCCAGGCTGGGGAGACCGAGCGGGACAAGGGGCACCGGAGGGAGCGGGGCGCCCAGCGGGCAGGAGGCAGCTGGTGAGTCAACTTTGCTCGCCTTCTGGGGGCGAGAAACTGGCAGCACAGCCTCCTCCAACAGACCTCTGACCCTCCCCCGGGCTGCTGACCCCGGCTTCCTCCCCTGTCACCACTCACTGCCCCGTCATGCATCTTCCTCATCAGTCTCCAGAGCCCAGCACCGAATCCCGTCTAAATGAGGTGCTCTGGGCCGTGGAGACACTCTGGGGGCCGTTCTGAGGAGCTCACTGGTTAGGAGCGTCCATTCAGCAAACACTGGCTGAGTCCCTACCCGGCGAGCGCCAGGGCCAGGCTCAGGACTACAGGGCCCTCAAAGAAGCTGGGAAGCTGTGAGCAGAGGAGGGAGCCATACCCCCGGCCTTGGCTTCCCAGCCTCCTCCCCCGGGTTTCAATTTACGCCAG